CTCTGTTTAAAGACTTCCAAAGAAGGAGACTCCACCAAAATCTCTGAGAGAGTGTGTTCCATTGTTGGACAGCTCTCATTGTCAGGAAGTTCCTCCTAATGTTTGGGTGGAATCTCTTTTCCTGTAGTTTGCATCCGTTGTTCTGGGTTCTATTCTCTGGAGCAGCAGAAAACAAGCTTTCTCCATCCTCAACCCTTCAGATATTTAAACAGGGCTATCTTCTCTTCTCCAGGTTAAACATACCCAGTTTAACCTTATCCCCTTCCCTAAGTCGTTCCTCATAGGGATTCATGGTTTCCAGACCCTTCATCATTTTAGTCACCCTCCTTTGGACACAGTTCCAGCTTGTCCACATCCTTTTTGAATTGTGGTGCCCAGAACTGGACACAGCCTTATTCCAGGTGAGGCCTGACCAAAGCAGAATAATATGGCACTATTACTTCTCTTGATCTAGAGTCTAGACACTGTATTTCTATTGATGCAGCCTAGAATCGCATTGGCCTTTTTAGCTGTTGCAGCACACTGCTGACTCGTGTTCAACTTGTGGTCTACTAGGACTCCTAGATCCCTATCACACGGAGTCTCTTTAAGCCAGGTGTCTTATATCTATATCTATGTATTTCATTTTTTTTCTGCCTAAGTGCAATTCCTTAAATTTCTCCCTGCTGAAATTCATTTTGTTAGCTTTGACCCTTCTAGTCTACTAAGGTCATTTTGAATTTTGGTCCTCTCTTCTGAAGCATCAGCCACTCCTCCTAATCTGCATTCCTTGACCCACCTCCCCTAGCAATGGGCACCCCCCCAGCCCCCCAACCCCTCTGCCCACAAGACATGCACACATCCAGTCAGCAGCTCCATGGGTTTATTGCCTTGGACAGATGGCTTCCTGCCCCACAAGCATTGCCCTGGGAGAACAGGTGCCACAGTGGGCCAGAGTCCTTCTCCTTCGGTTGGGTACCGCAAGGGTCTTCCACTCAGGGCTGGCATTGGGACTCTCCTCTATGGCAGGACCCCCCCCCCCAAATACCCACAGCCATAAAGGTCTGCCTCATGCCACCCATCAATCTTCCTCCTACGTGGGCAAAGAGGGGAAGGCCATGGGCCACGGGCCCCACACTGGCCAGTCCTTCCCCTCCTTGCCTGGACAGATGGAAGAGAATGGTGGCCACCACAGGGCAGCCATTCTGGGCACGGGGCGGGAGCAGGAGGAGAAACCACTTTGCTCCCCAAAGATGGGCACATACTGGATGCTCAGCCCCGTGCCAGGCTCTGTGCGGCATATGCTCCTTTCAGCCCCCAGAAATTAGCCCCTAGTCCACCAATTCCACCAGCAGGCTCCTTCCGGTGCCATCTCCCCAGCACCAGAGTCTGTGGGCACAGGGTCTGCCACAAAAACGTGTCTGGGGAGGGGGCATTCCTTCTAACGCTTGCCCCTGCCCATACCCACTGGGAGTACTAGCCCAGCAGGGCACGCAGGAGCTCCGGGAAGTTGGGAGTCCCCCAGCCGGTGACGGGGTCCCAGGATGGCATGGCGCAGAATCCCTGGCCCTCCACGGTGGCATCCAGGCAGGAGAGGTGGCATCCGCTGGTGACCTAGGAGGAAGAGAGAGGGGAGGCTGACCCTTGGTCAAGAAAGCAAGGAGCCCCTTCCCCAAAAGCACACAGGGCCAGGGATGCAGGAGATTCACCCCATGCCCACTCACATCATAGAGGGCAGTGCCATGGCCTTGATCCTGGAGCCGGTAGAGAACTGGATTGAGGAAGCCCAGCGGGGGCAACCCACGCTGCAAGCGCCGGTCATTGATCAGTGCAAA